TTCTTAAAATGAATTTGTCTTAATATTCCAGGCCAGTTTTTGTCTCACTGACTGCACTGGCTCAAGTATATTGCTTGTCTAAGTTTTCAGAAGCCATCCTTATTCTGTTTTCTGGGTTCATTAGTATTATTATTTTTTAATTGTGTTTCAAACTTATAGTCTGAATTTAGACTGAAACCTTATTTTAAGATAAAGACATTGGGCCCTGAGTAGTTTGCGATCATGATCAATAGCAGCATTCTGCATATAGAAATTTGTTTCTGAGGTTTGAATGCAAAGCTGAAGAATAGTGAGATTAAGAGACATGTTTGGCTGTTGTCTGAAGCTGACACGAGGAAGAATGTCTTACATTCAAAAAGCTTGTCTCAACTTTATCCCAGCTACATAGTTGGTCCAATAAAAGCTGTCACCCTAATAAATCTTTGCCTCTTCTGAAATTCATCCGTTCTTGCTAATTTGTAGATAGGTACAAAGCTCAAGGCCTTAAAATTCCATGCAATTAAAATACATTAAAGGTATATGTCCATTTTACCTTTGTCATAAACCTTGTCTCCTTAAGGGAGACGTATCATCTGCAGAATGTCACTTAAATAAAGTTAAATCCTTTACCTATTTCTCATCACCTTACAGATAGGTTTATGATAAATATAAGTGAATACAGCACTTTTTTCTTCTCCCGTACAAACATTTGAACATCCTATTGTGAAGATCTGAGAGGAATGCTGTTGTTTCATTTTGTTTCTGTGTGCAGGAGTAGAGCGTGAGACAGCGAATGAGAAATCCTTTGGCAACTTCCTCGTTGAAGGAGCAGACTCTCCTTACCGTTCAATGAACTTCACCTATAAACCTAATGAATTTGATAGGCTGTTAGAATTGAGCTGCTACAATGTTTTAAACAACAAGGACACAATCTTAAAAGCTCTTGCTTTGGGCATGAAAAGAAGGGCACTCAAGAAGGCCAGAAGACAGTAAGATGGTATTCTGTGTTGGATAGTTGTTACAAGGTATTGAATATAAATGAAGGCTTTAAACAGGAACACTTACTGGGTAAGGTATCTGCAAGTGACCAACCCACTGGACGACTTCCTTAAAGTTTATAGCTTTTCAAATACCTTATACACATGCAGATTGTGGAAACCAGACATTTCTGGGTGAAATGTATGAATTAAGCTTTAATAATAATAACAACAACAATAATAATATTTAAAATACTTCTGTGTGCTCTTATGTCTGCCTTATTGAGACCTTGTGAATTTCCTGTGTAGCATGTGATCAAGTGGGATTAAAAGCATGATGCTTTTCCTTCAACAAATAGGTGATAGTGAGTAACTCATATCTGGAAGCCCTGCTCTTCAGGGCAAAGAGGGTTTCTTTCTGGCCATATTCAGTATTGCCAGGGTGTCATCAAGGAGTGCTGAGGGCTAATAGCAAGGAAGTGTGTACTCCCTCAATGGAAGGGGATACCTTTTCTTCAGTACTTGGCATTGTTTAGCTTTGATATTTTTCTTTGAAAACCAGAACAACATTTAGATATGATTGGAAGTAAAAGTGTAGTCACTTCACATGAAGACAGCATAGTTTCCCTATCTCCAGAATAGATATTTAAATAATAATAATAATAAAAAGCATGTGTATGTATGTGTATCTGCAGACTGCTTCTTAATTGAGTGACTTGAAGATTACCCAGAATCAAGAGGTATCTGAGACGTGTCATTTCTGGATCCAAACTCTACAGTTCACTCCTATCTAATCTAAATTCATTAAAACTGGTAGGCAACAATTGATCTTCTGGATCATGGTGTATGCTTAAGAAGTCTTGTCAGGTGCCTGATGAATCTGCTTGTGGCTGACAAACCCAATGCAAAAGTGAAACAGCTTGTTACAAGTTTCACAGGTCCATGTGTTGTCTGGGTTGGAGCCCAAATCTACAGCAGGCTGCTTCCTTTGTTTTCACTTTGTTTCTGTCCTGTGGATCAAAGCTGCTTCATGTTGAGCTGCACCTAGTGCCACATGTCCCCTCCAGATTGGACAGGATTCTGCACACTCCCAGATTTCTACACTGATATTGAATGGCTTCATATAATTTTGACACATCATGGTACCATCATAAAGGGTGACCCCACTTCCTAAAGCTGTCTCAAATCTCACTGTACAAAATATTCTTGGGGACACAGTCTTCCATTCCTCTGACATGGCCAAGCCATTGCAACCTCCTTTTCCTGATTAGTGGTTTCTAAGTGTGTCAGTCCTGCACACTCCAGCAGCTCTGTTTGGCATTTTGGCTGCTGACAGACTGGGGGAAAAAAAAACACCCGGCGCTTTACTTTCAGCTCGGTGCACCCCTGCGTTGAGCCCAGCATGTGCCCAGAAGAGGAGCCATGTCACTTTGACCTGGTTCACCCAAAGTCTGTAGTGATCATGTTCTTCAGCGGGGCTAGATAAGAGCCAAAAAGCCCCGCTGAAATGCACAATCTAAACAGATATTGGGCGAGCTGGGTCAAACTGACATCGCTCCTTCTCCAGTAAAGTGTTGTTGTTTTTATTTTCCATGTCAGCAGTCTTTGTCATCCTACTTTATTTTCAGGATCTTGTGCAGATGTCTCATTATAACTAATTGAAAAGATCTATTAAACTGGACAAACTGATTTTGAATACAAATTCATACAGCCAGGCAGACCTCATAGACCATCAGCATTCCAGAAATAGACCTGTAATTAAGGTTGAAATAACAATTCCATTTTCAGGTAATATTTTAGAAATTTGTATTTTTCTTGAAAGATTTTCTTGTGGGATAACATTTAGCATGCTAATTTTCAGTCAATAGGTAAAACTTTTGTTATAGAAATCTGAAGTAGGCCAAAGTTGCTCTTGTATTGTCTGGGTGCATAAGAGTTTTGAGATTGCAAAAAAAGTGCTGATTTTTTTTTTTTTTAATCGGGTGCTTATAACTCAAAAAGAAGTTTGGTTCATGTTTTAAAATGCATAACTTGGCATCTCACTCAACATCTTCAATGAGAAACATAGCCTGGCAAAGTATTACAATCATTATTTGGGAAGTAATTATATTAGAGTTGATTAAAACTATATTTGTATACTGTGTTCTTTATTCTTATGAGAATTATTTTTATGAAAAAATATGTAAGAAATGTGGCCAACTGATATCCAAATACATACACAGGCAAGTGATAGCATAGCTTTAAGTCTTTATTTTAAAGAGACTGACTGGTTTTTTAATCAGTAAATAATGTGCACCAATAAATATATTGTGGCTTCACTGCTCTTGTTGTGTGCTAGCTACATTGTGTTACCATGTTTTACAATCACATCTTCGTTTTGCTGTGTTGATATATCCTTGGCAGTAACATAATGACTGAGGTCAGTATTAAAAAGCACATTTTTCTGTTTGAAATTCAAAGAACTTTCTCCAACACAAGACGACAGTATATCAATAAACCAAGGTGCCCAACGTCAGTGTCATTCACCCTTCTTCTCCTGTGTGATTTGCACCATGATGAGCTTCGGCTAGAAATGCACTTCAGCAAATGAAGTGGACCAGCTGTGCTGCTTCATTGGGTGAAACATGCACCTGTTGTCCCACCTGTTGATCTTGCAGGACAGTGGATGACATGCTTCCCTTCTTGTGATGGCACAGAGGCAACATCTGTTTCCACTCTTACAGTATGTATTTATACTAATTACATTCCAGTTCCTCTGTTGAATTCAGATGGTCTTGAATTAAGCATACTATCAATTTTAATTTTGAAAGTAACCAAAATAAGAAAAAATCCAGTTTCTAATAAAGAACTGCTTAAATAATAAGCAAAAAAATCTTTACACTATAAAGATTTTCCTCCTGTTTTGACACTAACAAAGGTTTTGCATAGGGCTGTCAATTAATCACAGTTAATGCCTGTGATTAACACATTAGTTGGTTCTTGAGTTAATTTTCTTAACGTGTTAATCATGCACCTGGCTTTAGAGCCTGCACCTGGGCTCTGCTCCGTCACACCTGCTCCACCCAGTGGGGCAGGTGTGGCAGAGCAGAGGACCTCAGGGCAGCCTGGGCATGGGCTCTGGGTGGCTGTAGCCAGGAGTGGGGGGACGGGCACGCACAGATGTAGACACACAGGAGCAGCTGCAGCTTGCACATTATGTGTTAGAGCAGTGCCACGCTGGTAAGTATGTGGAGGAGGAGGGGTGGGGAAGGGGTCAGGGGGCAGATCGAGGCCCCCATGCTGAGGGAGAGAGTGGGGCAGGTGCTGAGCGGGTAATGGGGTGCGTGGGGGGTGGGGGAGGGGAGGGTGGCTCCCTGCCACTGTGCACACCCCTGGAGGAGGCATATTTGTGCATGAGGTGGAGATGGGCTGCAGGCTGGGGCTCTGCGCCCTGCTGCCTTTGCCCTGGGAGTCATGCACTGGTCATGCTGTATGTTCCCTGCCCACCTGGCAGTGGGAGGCACAACATGACACTGCACGGCTCCTGGGGCAAAGGCAGCAGGGTGCAGAGCCACAGCCCACCTCCCCCCTATGCACAAATCCAGGGGAACATGCCCCCCATGCCTCCCCTGGGGGTGCACACAGTGGTGAGCAGCCACCCCACCCTGCACACCTGGATGACCTACTGTCTCGTGACCTGCCCCTGCCCTATCCCCATTTCCTTCCTCACTGTGGGGGCCTCAATCTTCTGCCCCCCTGGCTCCTCTCTCCCTGTGCCTCTTCCCCTCCACAGACTTACTGGTGCAGTGCTGTCTGTGTGTGTGTGCCTGTGTGTGTGTATGAGTGTCTGTCTGTGTATCTGCTCCCACTCTGCTGCTGCCCCTCAGGCCTGGCCCACAGTACCCTCACATCCTGCCAGGGTGTGCAGGGACCCCCCCTTCCCAGGCTCCAACTCTTCCCCAACACACACATTCACAAATTCCTCCCCCACCAAACTCTACCCCCACCCTCAACAATACAAAGTATTTGCATAGTTGTGTGCTTAAAATTGTGATTAATTGCAACTATTTTTTTTAAATTGCACAACTAATTGCGATGCCATTTTAAAAATTGTTTGACAGCCCTAGTTTTACAGCAATGGAGAAACTGACTATATAGGAGGGATAAGTACAGACAGTCAAAAAGCCTGAGGCTGAATCCATTTAAGTTTTGTAGGCTAATCTAAGCTGCATAGATTGAATTGATAAGCAAGTGAACAGACATTCATTTTTGATTTCAGAAATACAACCACTGCCTGTGGTGGCCCAGGCCAGAAGCTGGGGGGCATTAGAGCATGTCTCCCTGCTTAGCTGGAGCAGACAGCTTGGGTCAAGGCTAGCTTGCCTGCCCTGCAAGGGTTGAGAGGGGGTTGTGGGGGATATGCAAAGCATCTTGGGGCACTGGGGGACTGTGAGTTAACTTGAATCTGGAGAGGATCTGGGACAGAAGCTCAATAAACCTATTTAACCTAAATCAGTTAATTCTGATACTACATCCATCCAGGTTTATCTTAAACTGGCTTTGGCCATTGTGAAAGTGGTTTATGTGCACTGGACTTCTGTTGTGTTACAGATTTGAACCAGTTTCCAATCACTTGTGCTGGTTTATGTGTAATTTTGTCCCTAGCCGAGAAATGTTGACAGATAATGCAAAGTAAACAAACTGAAAATAGAGACAGTTCTTGCATTAACTTCCTCCCATTTCAGCAGTTCTGGGTGGTACTGGTAGCTAAAGCAGGCACACTATTTTCAGACAGGAATGTGATTTTTCAAGTTGAAAGGAATGTTAATTAAAATGCTTTCTTTGCATGCAAATGCTAAACATAGATTAAATAAATCAATAGCCCAGACACCATTGTATACTGAATTAAAGAGGCATTTATACAGTATTTGAATTAAACATTTTCTCACATGACTCTAATGAGGTGTATGGCAACTACATATTTCAGTGCAGACCTATTTCTAGTGCATGACAGGCTAAGTCAAGCTGAGTCATGGTGAGCCATCCACCCAGTGGTGAATATGAATCAATTATTACTCTTTACTTCAAATATCAGCTTTTTTATTTCTAGCAGAGAAACAAAAGAAAACACATTGCCTCCATATCTGTCAAGTAAACAAGTTACATTTAGGTATGTGGACGCAGGTATTCGTAACTGACTAATAATGTTAGATACCTCCATTTCTGGATGCCCAACTTGACACTTCAAGAACCATGCTTCCAGAAGCACTCAGTTGTGGACTTCAGTCCCATTGATGTCAGTAGGACTTAAGTAAATATTTAAGTGCTTCTGAGTATGCTTAAGATCATATTCCATGGTTTTCCTGAGTCAGAGCCAAAGTGCTGAGATGCTACCCTCTAAAAATCAGGTTCTCTTAAGGTACTTCAAGTTGGACACTCAATGTTGCTTATTTGCCCCTGAAATTATGAACCATAATTTTTCCCTTTGTAAGGAAATCTGATGGCAGTCCAAGGACACCTAAGACTTCACATAACTTTATCCTGACTGTGAGGATAAAACTCAAATCCCTTCTCCTCCAGAAGCAAAGCTTTTTTGTACACGGAGTAATTCAGATTTAGCAAAAAAGTACTTGTAAGACGCACATGAATAGTTCTGATTCTGCCCAGAAGAAGGTATTATATACACATGAGTGCTACAGAGTTTTAGCTGTATTATTACAGATCTCTATCATGGCAGATCATAGCACGCTAGAGATGATTCTCTTCCTAAGTAAAGAAGAAAATGTGTCATTTTATGGGTTTCCAGAGTACTTTGGAGGGTATCACTGAAAAGTATGCCTCACTCAGCTGCTCCCAATCCACACATGCCAAACCCAGCAATGAGACACTGAAGGCCCACTCTGTCATCTCTGAAGCTCCCCATTCCTAGTATACTTAAAAACATCCTTATGGGGAGTGCCCTCATGGCAGCTTCACTGCTACATGTTTGCATTTGGCATGCATGGTGTAGGAGCAGAGGTGGGATGTAGCAGTGGTTGTATTCCTAAATTTTTTTTTGAATGATAGTCACACATTTCAATTATCAAAGTGATTTTACATGGCCAAGTTTATCTAGATTTCAATCACATTCAGGGAACAAATATCACATTCTTGTAATTTTTTGACACAATTAAGGAGGCTGTGTTTTAAAAAGTGTCTAATCTTACTAAAAATAAATTTGGTTTACAAGAACTTGGAATCAGAATCTCTTGGGCATTTGCAAGCTCTAAAAACATCTTTCTGTAATCTCTTCTGTAGCATTTGTAGCAAAGTATGAAAAATTAGCAAGTTTTGCCTTGTTCCGAGTTTCACTATGTGCATTTTATATGAGCCTAATCACAAATAGGCACCAGAATTAATAATAATTATTGTATTTTTAAAGGAGCAGGCTGTGGCAAACAGTTTTTATATCTTTAAATTACTAGTCAAAGGGGTACAAAAGAAGTTCATTGCTATACCTGTAATTTTAAAACATGGCAAAGAGTGCCCAGAGCAAAGTAGGTGCTCTTTTATTATTGAATTAGTGCACAAATTAGGATAGATACAATACAATATTTACCAGTAATAAGAAACTTTTTTTTTTTTTTTAAGGCAGAGATGGGAAAACCTATACTGGAAACTTTAGGCTAGTTATCATTATTTTGTGTCCATCTCGGTTCCCTCACTCTCACTGTCCCATCTGCACATCATCTCATTCCTTCAGATCATAGGATTGTGGAAAAATCCATCTGGAAGGGACCTGCTCAAGGCCAGTTCATTCCTGTCTAAACCACCTAAAACAAAAGTTGTCTAATCTGCATATGAAAGCTACCAGTGATAGAGATTCTACAACATGACTACATAATCTCTTCAAGTGCTTAATCACCCTCAAAGAAAGTCATGAATGATGTGTGCCTCCTGAAGCTGTGGGGTGGGGAGGCACAGCGACTATTGACAGGTGGCAGCAGCAGTGTCAGTGGTGGGGGCATGGCAGCAGTGAGTATGGACCCCCCCCACACAGGCGGCCACAGTGATGTTGATGGTGAGGGCAGGCCAAGCGGGGACCACCTGCAGGTGGCCACAGCAGTGTTGGCAGTGGGGGGGACAGACCAGGGGCTGCCCATAGCTGCTGTTGGTGGTAGTGAGCAGGGACCTCCTGCAGCCATCGGTGGCTGGGGGGCGGGGGGCAGCGACTGCCCGCAGAAGCCGGCAGTGGCTTCAGGGGTGGCCATTCTCAGGGGGGCACGTTTCCCCCCTGTGCCCATGCTATGCATTGCCTATGAAGAAAGTTCCTAACAGCTATCCTAAATTTTTGTTGTTGCAATTTAATTGCATTATTTCTTGCCTTAGCCTTGGTGGAGACAGAGAAACAGAGAACAATTGGTTTCCACCCCACTTAAAACCACTTTTAAAAAATATCCATAGACTGTTATTAAATCTCCCCTTGGTCTTCTTTTCTCTGGACTAAGTAATCTGAATTTTTCCACTCCCTTCTCATGCATCATATTTTCTCCAATAATTTGTTTTTCTCTTCTGGACTCTTTCCATTTGGTCCAGATGACAGTAGATAATTTAGTTCTCCATTAGTATCAGGGCCTCCTGTCAATTGTTGCCATATCTCAGTGAGTGGGATGATGGGTTTCAAAAGCCAAATGTTGAAGCAAGATCCTCTTAGGACATCTGAAAAACTAACTACAAGGGCCTTAAGGCTAGGGACAGACATTC